CATTCCTGCCAAGAATCAACACCCCAATCTAATCATGAGAAAACATCAGACAAATCCAAAATGAAAGTCCTACTTACCCCCCACCCCCAAAAGTGAAGGGGGCTATGCTCTTTAAAACTGTCAACATCTGGGACCAGCAGATGGTTTAATGATTAAGTCGCTGGATTCCCACATAGTCGACCACGGTTTGAGCCCTGGACCCAGCAGCTTAAAACACACCAGGCACATGTACGTGCATGCCCAAAATCCCGAAAGGAGAATGGAGAAGGGATTGTGACATGGCCATCCTCCCAGGGGTGATTTCTTACTTTCTGTCTCTCTGGTGAGCACTTGCACCCTATAGCAAAAATCTCTTAAAAATAAAAAGTAAAGGTCATAAAAGTCAAAGAGAAGCTATGGAAATGTTCTAGATAAAAGAAAGCTAAAGAGAGGCCAGCAGGTACATAGTGGTTGGGGCTCTGGACTCCCACATAGCTGACTATGGTTCCCAGACCTGGCGGCTTGAAACACACACCAGGTACACGTGTATACATGCTCAGAATCCTGAGAATGGAAGAGGAGGGATTACAGTGTGGTCATCCCCCCTGAGGGGTGATGTCTCACTTCTTCTCTCTTTGTCTCTCTGGCAAACAAATGTATCCTATAGCAAAAATCTCTCAATAAAAGAAAAAAAAGTAAGCAAAAGAGACAACTAAATACTTGTTAAGACCCTATAGAGGGAGGAAATGCTATAGTGGACATAATCAGGTCAACAGATAAAATTAAAATATGAATGGAAAATTAGAAAAAAAGTGTTGTTATCAAAGTTAAATTTACTAAAGTCAGTAATTGTTCTCGGGAGTGGGTGTGGTGGGATGCTGCTGCACAACACTGGAGCTTCATGAGAAGGCCCAGGGTTTGGATCCAGGGTTGAGCACTTCTAGGGCGCCAGTGATCCTAGCTGGCTAAAAGGATACTTACACAGGCAGAATCACAGCATGGCAAGACCCTAGTGTGCTCGCTCTCTCTCTCTCTCTCTCTCTCTCTCTCATGAAACAAAGAAATGCTTTTAAAACGTTGGCTCAAGGGGCTGGAAAGTGACATGGTGTTTAAGGGCACTGGACTCCCACATGGCCAACTGCGGTTCGAGTCCCGGACCTGGCAGCTTGCTTTCTCACTTTCTCTTTCTCAATCTCTTTTTCACTCTGGTTAAATTAAAAAATAAATAAATAAATAATGTTTAAAAAAATAATTCTTTTTTTTTTTTGAGAGATTTTCACTGTAGGGCGCGTGCGCTCGCCAGACAGACAGAGAGAGACATAGAGACAGAAAGCGAGAAATCACCCCCCAGGGGGGATGGTCACGCCACAATCCCTTCTCCTCCATTCTCCTCTCGGGATCTTGGGCACGCACGCACACGCGCCCGGCGTGAGTTTTAAGCCACCGGGTCCGGGACACAAACCGCGGTCGACTACATGGGAGTCCAGCGACATAGCCATTACGCTAACTGCTGGTTCCCTAAAAAAATAATTCTTAAAAAAAAAAGTTGGCTCAAATAATATTCTTATAAATTAAAAGTAGCTTTTAGTTTTTTTCTTTTTTTTACCTTCCATAGTTCAATGGCCACAGGTTGCTGTGGTGGATTGTCACAGTATATATCTTCCACAGTTCTTCTCCAAAACTGCATTCGCATCAGTCCAATTGTTCTCTCTGAGACTGAGTCCTTAACCTGTAAATAAGATTTAAGAACCTTAACAAATGCACTATTCACAGTCTCAAAAGTTAAGGAAACTTTTTGAATTAATAAAACCGTTCTATAACATGACCATGATGGTGAAGAAATGACTCTCTACACTTGCGGAACCTACAGAACTGTACACCGGAGTGAATCTTCCTGTATGTGCACCTAAATAAAGTTACTCATTCATTCGTTAACCAATTTCCTAAATTATGGAACTGTCTCTCACTCACTACTAATTAAAAATGGGCTCCTGGGACCAGCAGTTAGCGTATGGCTATGTCACTGGAATCCCATGTAGTTGACCATGGTTCGAGTCCCGGATCCGGCAGCTTAAACTCATGCCAGGTGCGTGTGCGTGCGTGTCCAAGATCCTGAGAGGAAACTGGAGGAGAAGGGATTGCGACATGGCCATCCCCCCAGGGGGTGATTTCTTGCTTTTTGTGTCTTTGTCTCTCTCTGTCTTTCTGGCAAGCACATGCGCCATATAGCAAAAACCTATCCAAAAAAAAAAAAAAAGGCCTCCTTAGGTTCAGGCAAGAATCACCAATGTCAACTAAATACAGGAGGTAAATTCTGATGAGAACCATGATCGTAAGATGTCTCCTCATAGATTGCTTACTGGTAGCAAAGGAAAAAAATGTATTATTGGGACTGAGTGACCAAAATGAACATCACCACCAGGAGGCAGGTGGACATTGCATGCCTCCTGGGATTCCCTGAAAAGGACGTTCACCACTTACCTAACAATAGACTAGGAATGTGGAACTCTAGTATAATATAATCACAATGGGAAAAAATAAAAACCCAAATGAGAACCAATTTATTTTTAGAAAGGAACAGCACTGTTTAAAGAATATCAATGTCACAAAAGACAAAGAAAGGCTGTGACACTGTCCCATATTAAAGGAGGCCAAAGAGACATGAAAACTAAATGTAATAAATGATGCTACACTGGGTCCTATGAACAAGGGGGGAAAATGCCATAAAGGACATTACTGGGTCATTTGACAAAACTGAAAATCACATCAAAAGAAAGAATACTGGGCCAGACCAATGGTTAAGGAAGACAGATCCCACACAGCCAACCATGGTTTGGATCCTGGCCCCAGTACTTAAAAAGCAACAGGAGTCTGTGTGCACGCACCCAATATGATGGACAATGAAGGACAGGGGACTGCGGCATGACTGTGCTTCACGGGGGGTGCTTTCTCCTTCTATCTCTGTCTTGCCATTTCTCTGTGGAAAGCACACATGCTCCCTGGCAATTAAAAAAATTTTTTTAAGCATTAAACAGATGTTAAACTTACTTTCATAACTGTACAGTGGTTACATAAGAGAAGTATCCTTATTATGAAATACACATTGAAGTTTATATGGATAAAGGCCATAATGTGATCCAGGTAACGCTAAATGCTTCACAAAAAGAAAAACATGTGTATACATATATAAGCAGAAAATAAAGCAAATGGGGTGAAATATTTACAAAAGGGTATTCTTTTTTTAAAAGAGATATTTTTCTATAGGGCATGTGTGCTCGGCAGAGAGACAGAGAGACAGAAAGTAAAAAATCACCCCCTGAGGGGACAGTCACGCCGCAATCCCTTCTTTATTTTCTTCTTGGGATTTTGGGCATGCACACACACGTATCTGGCTAAGTTTCAAACTGCTGGGTCCAGGACTTGAACTGTGCTTGGCCATGTGGGAGTCCAACAACATAATGATTACACCACTGGCTGGGCCCACAAAAAGGTATTCTTTGTACTACCCTTTCTATTCTGCACATGAGAACTATTTCCAAGTTAAAAAAAAAGTTTTTTAAGAGAAATTTTTGCTACAGAGTGTATGTGCTCACCAGAGAGACAGAGAATAGAAAGATAGAAAGCAAGAAATCAGCCCCAAGAGGGGGTGGCCACGTCCCAATCTCTTCTTCTCCATTCTCTTCTGAGAATTTTGGGTACATACACATGTGCCTGGCATGACTTTTAAGCCACCAGATCCAGGACTCGAACTATAATTGACCATGTAGGAGTCCAGGAACGTAACCATTACTGTTCCCACAAATAAAAAATTAAAAAAAAAATGATCCTGAGGGGGGCCAGCAGGTGGCATGGTGCGTGAGGCACTGAACTCCCATGTGGCCAACCACGGTTTGAGTTCCAGACCTAGTGGTTTAAAACTCACACCAGGTGTGTGTGTGTGTGTACAGGCCCCAAATCTCAGGAGTATGGAGAATGGTTTGCCACATGGTTATTCCCCCTGGGGGGTGATTTTATACTTTCCTTTTCATGATCTCTCACTGTCTCTCCCTGGTAAATGCATGCACCCTAAGGCAAAAACCTAAAAAGATCCTGAGGGCACGGCAGTAAAACGCAATGCTCTGTGAGGCTGACCCATGTGGGAAGGTTCCGGGTTCACCTCTGGAGACCTCCCTGAACATGCCAGGCATGCATGTGCTCATCATCCAGGGCTAGCTGAGGCTGGCGGGAGTTTACAGTGTAAAGATCCTAGGAGGGGTACTATCCCTCTCATTCATAGAAGAAATAATAAATAAACTTAAAAAAAATAAGTGATTCTGAAGCGAGGTGGGTTTCTTAGCCATGTTTAGGGTTCTGGTCCCAGTGCATACAGTACAGCCATTCAGCATTTAAGAAGCACCCTTTCAAAACATGACCAAGAGATGATGTTCTCTCTGCTCAGAACCCTTTGATGGCTGTCCATTACACTCAGAGTAAATGCCAAAGTGAATGTGATGGTCTCCCAGACCTTACCTTTCTGACCCAGGTACCTTTAATCTAACCTCCTCCAAACTCCCTCTCCCTCCCCTGCTGTACGGCTGGCCACCTCTGTTCTTTGAGCATATAAGGCACACGTGCACCTCAAAGCCTTTGTTTCCTGTTCCCTCTGCCTAAAATTCTCCTTACCACATATCTGTACAGCTCACTCTCTCGTTTTTTCAAATTTTTGCTCCAAGCTACCTTCTCCACAGGTTTTTTTTCCTCACCATGCTACATGAAACAGGAACCCCTGCCTTCTCTACACCTGGCATCCTGCTTTATTTCTCTTCACAGCTCTTGTCTCCATGTGATTCACTACAGAGTTACCTATTTGTTCACTGAATACAGACACTTTGTATATTTTATCCTATGCTATACCCCAGGATCTAAAACAGTGTCCAGCATATTTTAGATAATCAATGCTTGTTGAGTAAGTGGATAAAAAAGGCTGTGTGTGCAAACAAGTAGCAAGATGCTCCTACAAAATGACAGAGAGTTCAGGGGGAGATCTCTGGGAACTAATTATTAAAAATGAAATTTCAATCATTTAAAAATTATAATGGAAGATCACTTATGGGAACCATTTGTGTCTAAATCATGACAGACATAAACTGCTGATATATAGTTTTTTTGGTTTTTGGGGGGGTTTTCTGAGAGGTTTTTGTTAGAGGGTGTGTGCGCTCGCCACAAAGACAAGAGAGAGACAGAGATACAGAAAATGAGAAATCACCCCCCCCTCAGGGGAGATGGCCATGCCGCAATCCCTTCTCTTCCATTCTTCTTTTGGGATCTTGGGCACCCACACACGTACTCGGTCCGAGACTTGAATCACAGTGGATGGACTACATGGGAGTCCAGCGACATAGACATTATATCAACTGTTGGTCCTGCTGGTACATGGTTTATACCTGAGAAAGAATGAGGTGAAAAACCATGACCCATGGGACCAGCAGGGGGCGTAGTGGTTAAGGGTGCTAGACTCCCACAAGCCAACCACGGTATAAGTCCCAGACCTGGTGGCTTGCTTTCTCGCTTTCCCTCTCTCTCTTTTTTTCACCTGCTCTTGCTCTGTCCCCCAGTCAAATTAAAATAAATAAAGTTAAATAATTCTTTAAAAAAAAAAAAAAAACATGACCCATGACTTGCAGAGACATATCAGAGGGAAAAAACAGTCAGTCTATTAGGTTCTCCACAGATTCACGATTGTGAATCTCGGTTGTGCCTGAGTGTTATACTCAGCCATTTGGTTCATTCCTTGTTCCCTTGCCATATTTACCAGAGAAGCTGTGCTGAAACTTGCCACTCTCTTCAAGACTCCAATTCTCCCCAACTCCCTCACTCCAATATCTGACCTCTCCTTGAGAAGACCAAGGCCATTCTACTTCAACTCCCTCATGTCCATTTATCTCTATCTGCACAGGCTCTTCCCACTCAACAAAAAGGAACTCTCCTTCCTTTGTAATTTTTTTTAAGAGAGATTTTTGCTATAGTGTGCTTGTTGGACACACAGAGAAATAGAAAGTGAGAAACCATTCTCAATGTGAATGGCCACACTGCAATCCCTTCTCCTCTCAGGGTTTTGGACATGCACAAATATGCACCTGGCGTGAGTTTCAAGCTGCCAGGTCTGAGACTCAAACCATGGGTAACAATGTGGAAGTCCAGAGCCTTAACCACTATGCTGCCTTCTGGTCCCCTTTTGTACTTCTTTAGACAGAAGTGAGTGAGTATGCTATCAGGTCTGGGTTTGCTATAACTCCTCTCATTCTCCACTTCTCATTAAAGCTAAAATCTTAATTTAAAAACTGTGTTGGGGTCAGCCCACAGCACAACAGTCTAACCCTGTGTACTGGGAGTCAGATCTCACCTAGACAGACACAGTTAAAATCACAGCCCTGACAGCTTGAATAACACACCAGACATATACGCATATGCTCAAATTCCTGAGAGGATGGAAAATGACTATGGCATGACCATGGTCCTTGAAAGGTTCTCTCCCTCTCTTTCTTTCTCTCCCTCTCTCACTGGCAATTTAAAAATATGCTTTGAAAAACTGATACATAGGTGTAAATTCTGCAACTCCTGAAGAGGAGAAGCAATAAAATTCTAATTAACCTATTCAGTTAACAGACAAATGTGCAATGTTAATTGCAGTCTTATTATATCATCAGAAAAATAAATTTACATTTCCAAAATGAGGAACCAACAGATTATGTAATGGTTACATCATTAGACGTCCACATAGTCGACCACGGTTCAAGTCTCAGATCCAGCAGCTTGATGCACTCCAAGTGTGTGTGCATGCATGCCCACTCAAAATCCCAAGAGGAGAATGGAAGAGAAAGAACTGTGGCATGGCCATCACTCCTGAAGAATGATTTCTCGCTTTCTGTCTCTAGGCAAAGCACATGGCACTCTATAGCAAAAATCTCTCTCAAAAAAAAAAAAAGAAAAGAGAGTCCAAAATGGTATGTCTAGAAACATTAAGTTCATTAGCTAGTTTTATTTTGGCTATTGAATTGGTAAGCCTAAATAGGTAGCAAGAGAAAGAAAAAATAAGCATAGCCCTTAATCTAACTTATACTTTACAACCAATTTTTATTTTTTAGTATTAAAAAAAAACCATATATCACCATTTTGCAAATGATAATTTAAGCTATTTTAATACCAGCCTGAGCCAGTTCCACATTGAAGGCCCTCAGTGCAAAAGCAGAGCTTCGGGATTCTGCAGGGAGCAGGAGAGAACATAAATAACCTTCATAATCTCGTTTCCTATAATAGACAAAGAAGAAAAAGATAGTTACTCTTCACTTTCCAAACGTATACAAGAATACTGACCAAAATTAAACGGAATAAGTCCAGAACAGGCCTATCTTCAGGTCTGTTCCTCTTTAATTATTGGGTTGTTGGAAAAGTCATGACTCATTTTTACATTGAAAATGTCATAATTTTTTCAAAAACCAAATATATAAACTTTAACTGTCCCCAATCCCAGACCATTTCAAAAAAGAATACTCAACCTCTATTAATTTACTTGAATTTATACAGTACTTATAATTAGCTTTATCATTGTAATTATATATGATTTTCAAGCCACCAGGTGGTTAGGTAAGAGTAGATATTTGGCTTGCTTTCTCACTTTCCCTTTCTTGCTCTCTCTCTCTCTGGTTAAATTAACAAATAATAATAAATAAAATTAAAATACGTCATTCTTTCTTTAAAAATACAAACTTTTAACAGTATTTGGCTTTTAAAATTCTTAATGCCCTGTGGCCAGCAGAAAGTGTGATGGTTAAGGCTATGGGCTCCCACATGGACAACCAAGTTCGAGCCACCACCTGTGGCTTGAAAATCACACCAGGTGCCCAAAATCCCAAGAGAAGAATGGAGAAGGAACTCCGGTATGGCCATCCCCTCTGGGGGATGATTTCTCACTTTCCTTCTATGTTTCTCCACTGAGTACATACGCACTGTAACAAAAACCTAAAAATTAAATAAATGATTTTTTAAAATAATTATTTTAAATTTTATTTATTTATTACTTGCTATAGGACATGCACAATCACCAGAGAGGAGAAACAAAGAGAAAGTGAGAAAGCAAGCTGCCAGGTCTAGGACCTGAACTGCAGTCAGCTATGTGGAAGTTCAATGTCTTAACCACCATACCACCTGCTGGCCCCTAAAATAAAATTCTTATTGCCCTGATTTCTACTACTTCTATCTTTTTTTCCTACATATGATCAATGAATAAGGAGAAATGCAATTTCTAAAAAGGGATTAGAGGGGCCAGCAGATGGCATAATGGTTATGTCACTGGACTCCCACATAGTCAACTACGGTGTGAGTGCCACACCTGGCAGCTTAAAACTCATGTAGTGCACATGTGTGTGTGTGCATGCGCATGAACACCCAAAATTCCAAGCGAGAAATAGAGAAAGGATTGTGGTGTGGCCATCCCTCCTGGGGAGTGATTTCTTGCTTTCTGTCTATCTGTCTCTCCAGTGAACATGCTGCCTATGGCAAGCACAGACACCTATGGCGAGCACACATGGCTATGGCGAGTACACGTGCCTAGGGCAAAATCTCTCAAAAAAAAAAAAAAAAGTGGTTAGAGGGACCAGAAGATGGAGTACTGATTATGCCTATGGACTCTCATGTAGCTGACTACACAGTTCAGGTCCCAGAACTGGAGGCTTAAAACTCACACTGGGGTGGGACCAGCAGTTGGCGTAATGGCTATGTTGCTGGACTCCCATGTATCCGACCGCGGTTAGAGTCCCGGATCCAGTGACTTAAACTTTCACCAGGCGCATGTGCCTGTGTGCCCAAGATCCCAAGAGGAGAATGGAGTGAACGCGCCCTATACCAAAAACCTCTCCAACAAAACAAAACCTCCAACAAAACAAAACAAAACCTCACACTGGGTGCATGCGTGCATATCCAAAGTCTCCAGAGGAAGATGGAGAAGGGATTGCGGCATGCCCATCCTTCCTGGGGGAGTGATTTCTCACTTTCTTTCTATCTCTGTCTCTGTGTCTCTGGTGTGTGCGCAAGTCCTATAGCAAAAATCTCTTTAAAAAAAAAAAAAAAAACAAGTGGTTAGAAGAACCAGCAGGTGGCATGGTGGTTAAGGTGTTGAACTGTCACTGGACTACCACATGGGGGAGCACAGTTCGAGTCATGGACCTGGTGACTTGAAAATCACCAGATCCAAGTATGTACACCCAAAATAACCAGGAAGAGAATGGAGAAGGGATTGCAGTGTACCCAACCCAAGGGAGGAGTGTGCAATTGATTTCTCACTTTCCCTCTCTATCTCTGGGGAGTGCATAAGCCCCATAGCAAAAACCCTAAAAAAAAAAGGGGGGGGGGATTTAAAACACTCTGAAATACATGTATTTACATGTTTTCTGTATTATTCTACTTTTTACTGAAATGAAATTCAAAAGCATTGGATTTACCTGCCCAGGCAAATCCAAGATAGTTTGCTTATTCTAGTACATTTTTTTTTCTAATTTGCTATGGATGTGTGCATTAGCCAAAGAGAGAGAGTGAGAGAAGGAGTGAGAAATTCCCTTATTCCTCCTCCTGGGGTGTCAGGGGGATGGCCACTCCACAATCCCTTCTCTTCCATTCTTCTCTCAGGGTTTCAGGAAAACGTGGTCCACGTTTTTCAAACTGCTATCTAGATCCAGGACTCTGAACAGCCCAGCCTTAACCATCACATCACCAGCTAGCTCCATTAATTTCCTGAGATCAGATATGAGACCTGTATATCATTTTGAAAGAACGGCAGCAGAAGGGCAACAGAAACTAAGTTATCATGCTGCAGGTCAGGCCTAGATTCCAAGGCAAACCCCCATCCTGGATGGGCCAAGAGACCTAACTGATCTAACCCACCTCCACAAAGGATTAAGGAGGAATACAAGCGCCAGGCCTTCTCGGCTCTAAGGAAGCAAACAAAAACACCATACCTCAGGCATTTTCCCTAATGTCTCTAAAACTAGTTTCCTCCTCTATTAAGTGAGATAATAATGCCATGATATACTCGCTGTGCCCTTACTATGTGTCAGGAGGCATTATTCCAAATGCTTTACTTCTCACAACCCTAAAGGTAGGGCCACATTTACCGGATACAATGAGTAACGAAAATTAATTACTTATAAATTACTTTGATTAGTGCCAAACACACAAAAAGAAATTAGTTTCTGTTATCACTGAAACTAATTACTAGTTGGTACGTGAATTAAACCAGCTTTGCATGCGAAAACGCTCGAGCTAAAATTAAAGCTCATGTAAGGTGACAAGCATGGGCAGCCAGAGTCGTGCCACAGTTGTGCGGCTCCTGCAAATATTCCTGCAGCCTCACTCCCTCCAAGCAGCCTCATCCAGAGGCCACCAGAACGCGCTGGAAGGCGCTTGTCCACCCTGGCCCGCTCCGGGTACTCCCACGTCCCGAGCAGGCCGGGCTCGCTCACCGCAGCAGATCCAGGCAATAGAGGTCAGTGCCCGAGGCGCCCAGGCCGCTAGCCG